CGTCATGGCATCCTTTGAAGATCTCCTTTCTAAGGTCGGCAGGAATTACCAGCTGCCATAGCGAGCTGTTGTTTCCGAAGTTCTCCTTGTAAAGTGTCAAAATATCACGAGTGACAATATATCTGGCGAAATGAAATATAAAACAAATTTTGACCTTCGTCTTTAGCCAGGTAAGGTTGGTCTGCCTATAATGTTTGTCGACACTGGTTTACGTTGTAGATAATAATATTAATAATAATAATAATAATAATAATAACATTAATAATAATATTGTTGTTGATAACAATAATAATAATAAATAAATCAGTGTTTATTTAAGTTTGAAGGAACAACCTCTCATGTCTTAGCGCTTCCACACGTGAGAGGAAAAAATTATGAAAACGGAAACACCAGGGCAGTGGTGGAACTCAGTCCAAGAGTCTGACACAAGAACTGTCCCCAATTCGAAGAGAGCTCAAGCAGTGAAACAAGCAGAACCACATAGAAGCTTGCATATCCTAAAGAAGGGCAAGTAACCTGATACCGTACCGACAGACACGTATTTATCATCCCTTTTCAAGCATTAAAGGGCAACTCCACTCCATTTTTACAATTTTTGGGTTATGATCTGTTTAGTGGAAGCCGGCGACCCTGAATCACGAGATATAATTTGTTTTTCGGTAGTGTGTATAGTTTTGTAGATATCGCGAATGCAAGAATCGGTCCGGTGGCTCGGCGAAACCGAAATTACCCGTTGAAGCAGCTTGGCAACACTGATACTAGCGGCGCGTCGTCGGCATGACCTAGTTCTAGTCCCGCGCTTCTGAGCCGACGCGCCGACAAGGTCGGCTCAGTCGCACGTGGAGTTTCAAAACAGAAGGTTAGATGCACATTTTCTTTTTTTACCGCTTCACTTTGTTGATATGCATCAAATGTAGTAAGTTTTAGTGTGTATTTATAAATTTGCCGGCCGAAAAGCGAATCCGACTGCTATAAATATGACGCGGTCGGTGCCGACGCAGCGTGACTGTATTTGTTTCTTGCGCGCGGACCGAGAAAACGAAATAATGGGAGATAGATGGACAGATCTATCCACAAGTGGTCTAAGTTGTTAAAGCCAAGGTGCCTTTATGTGCACGCTAGTTAGATCAGCCGCGACCTGCTGCTTCCGGCCGATCGTGCTGGAGCAGCCGGCGGACGGTACGCGAACAGCGACGGCACCGCATCGTTCTTCAAAGACGCCTGTTTCGTGGTGAAACCCGCAACAGTCAGCAGCCGCAGATCCCGTGTGTAGGTGTCTGTCGTAAAGTGCTGGGAGCAGAGCTTCGCGTTGGAGCTCGGAGTCAACGGTCTTCCGAAGTCTATCCGGCGAACGGCACCGACCCACACCTTGTGCCTCTTCCGGTCTCTTGGGAACTGGTGGAACCGCAGCTCCGGGTTGCGCAGCCGGTTGTTGGTGCAACCCACAGCACTACAAATCCTGCTCGACATTGCCCAACGCGAGACCGGCGAATCTCTCCGGCTCCACGACGCGCGCGTGAGCGAGCAGCACCGCTTCGCTCTCTTCCGCGCTGTCGCGGAAGCAAGGCTGGAATTAAAGCAACTGCCTGGACGCTAATAAAGATAGGAGAACACAGGATAATGTGGTAAACACCTCGTGCCGTCAGCAGAATCGCAGAATGCCACGGGAAACGAAGCGTTCGCGGCGTCCGTACGAGAGCGTAGGACTAGACCTACGTCATTGCCCAGTGTTGCTTCACTAGCTCACCCGGTGCCAGCGTTGCTCACCCCCTCTCGGGCCGCTAACCGAGCCGGGAGAACATTTCTAATATTGGTATTAATCGGTAACGCGGCGTCGGTTTGACGTGATATTTTGGGTATGACCGTATTTTGACCTTCTAAAGCGATATCAGTCATTTCGATAGGGTCGACTTTTTGAGTGGAGTTGCCCTTTAACTGTTTGTAAACAGAGGGATGAAAAGTTGTGCATCACGAATAAAAAATACCGTGTGCGTCAGAGCATATGTTGTAGCACAACGCCGATCTAAGATTATCGCTTGATCGGTTAAAATACCAAGAGGCTTAAAACAATGATTGATGAAGTGTGTGCACACATGCGACTCCAATGTTCATATCTAACAAAAGGCGGGGTGTGTAAATAAAACATTAAAGAGCTTCAATTAAGAAGAACAAATTCGCCTTAGCTGGACGCTAATGCAGGCTAAGCAAGTTCATAAGTTTGGAACCAGTTTCATGGTTGAAGCGATCAACGCCACTCTTAACGTTGCGATGTCTAAAATGAAAAATAAAGTTATTTTGAAATATACTAAGTGCCAAAGAATTAGGTTTAGAAATGCTGTTCCACACAACTCAGGCGTACTCAAGTTGCGATTGCATAAAAGAGTGGTACAGTGTCAGAAACGGAAACAGATTCATAAATCCCATTGTTATGCGACATGTGCCGCCCAACCTGAGAAGAGACGTGTTCACAACTCTTGGTATGTGATCATTAAACCTGAAGCTCGAATCGAAAATGAAACCCAGATCCTTGATCTTAGACAAACGCGGTAACATCTCACTGGAGATGCTACAAACGAAAATGATATACAATGTCTTCCTTGAAATTGTCACAACTTTGCTTTTTGATCGGTTTAAAAAAGAATCATTAACCGAGCACCAATTGCAAAGAGGAATATGCGTCTTCTTGAAGCCTAATCCAATTATCAATGGTAACATTTTTGTAGAGTTTTATTTCATGTGCATATTGCAGAAACGAAGAAAAAGAAAACAGAGGAATCGTCATTAACAAAAATAGAAAAAAAGAGGGTACCTAGAACAGATCACTGAGTAACGCCAGGGGAAGCATTGTAAAATGAAGAGGCTATATTGTTAACCCGTACGTATGCAATTCTATTCGTAACATAGTTGTGAATCCAGTAATAAATTGAGCCACACATTCCATTGGCGAAAAGCATTGTTAAGAGAATAGTGTAGCTAACAACGTCGAAGGCGTTTCTCAACTGAAATTAGCTACCATCCAGCTTACCTTTATTACAAGCTACCTGAAAAGTGGTGTACATAAACGTTGCGAGATTTGTAGCAGTTTACTTGCCAGACATAAAGCCGTGCTGGTAAGGGATGGCTATGTTACGAAATGTAAAAGATAATATTTGATGAATGACCATCCCAAAGAGCTGGAAAATGAAGGGAGAAAATGGATAGTCAAAGGTTAAAAAACACTGACACCCCCACAGCTTTTTTTTTGTTGGGCGTTTTGATATGGTGTCAGAAGACAACCCAATTAATACTCTGCCACAAAGTCACATATATTTTAATAAGGCCAAGAAGCGCAACAGATCGAAACCGAAACCGAAACCGGTGCATGAAACGCTTTTTTTTTTACTCCGTTTTTTTTTTTTCCTTTTCGCCGCGCGCAGAAGGCGACATCACATCGTTGTGGGTAACGTTTGCTGTGCAATTGCTTTGCAGTCATGTTTGTTAAGCTCGATGTTCTGGACTTCAAGATGAGTTGTTTTGTACTTTGAAGAGTTAGAAATGAGTATTTGAGTGCCCCTGGTGGGGGGAACGCCTATGATCAGCTCCGAAAAAAATGCCCCCAAGATATTGCGTGAAGAGCTGCCTCAGAGACCAAAAGTTGCATTATGTAGCAGAGCTTCCACACGTTTTCGAAATATCAACGGGAACGGAACCAATGGATGGCTGCAATTCCGGCGGAACAGTTATGGGCGCCACGGAAAGCGGGCACTACCCGATTTATATGTTCCTTGCTTTTTGTGAAAGTGACTAGATTGAGCTCGCAGGTGTCGAAAAGAGAGTCCCAGGCCATTTAATTCAGCGACCTTTCGTCCGAAACATTTCTTGCTGTCTTTCATTGATAATTGTAAAACGAAACCGCAAATATCGCAAAATGTAAAAAAAGAAAAAAAAAATTGCCCTGGTTTTTTTTTATGTGAAGCGGACATATTTTCACTAAGTTTAAAATAGTCGTTTTGACAAATTGTTTTATACGAGACCCGATAGGGGACGACTGCCCGTGCGATGTCTTTAGTCACGAGTAGAAGCGACGACTCGGCGACGTCTTCGTGCAAATCGGCTTAGTGGTGGGTCGTGCCGCGTGGAATCAATCCTAATTGTTTTCATAAGTCCAAAATTTCTCTTTCAAAGGCAAGCAAATTGGACCGTACTGCGAACGACAGTTCTGAAGTACAAGTCCCATGCCCGTCGACCGCAGCCATTGCCGTCGTGCCCGAGAGTCCCACGACACACGATACGACGCACGATGAGAAGTACGCAGTAAACGCACAAAATGCTTCCAGTTCTCTGCGCAACTTTTTTTTTTTTCAATCTACGAACCGCAGTTTTTTAGAAGCCACACAAACGAGTTTCATCTTTTTTTTCTATTTTTAATATTGAGTGTGTGCCTTCAATGACCCACGACTTTGATCAAATTTGGTGGCTGGCTGTAAACCTTGGAAAATTGTCCGCAAACATGAAGAAGACAGTGGGCGCGACTCAAACCCGCCAGTTCTTGATCGGCTGCTTTCGGGCGTTAAGAAACCGAATTTCGAGAAGCAAACATGGTTTCGGTTAGTTCGACTCTCATATGTCATATTCAACTAAAAACCTCGACGAGCATAAATACCCTGTGAGATTCCCTTATAGGACATCAGCCGTATTTCCGGCCTTTATATTGGAACGACGGCGGTTATTTACCAGGTTTCTGGAAATATTTCTGATCTCAAGAGCGCACAAAAGGTTCCTGAATACTTCACGAAAATATCGAAGGATTGCTCAGGACATTTTCTCGTTCCCCGCAGATAATGTGGCTCTCCATTTGTTTAATACATAACCCAGCACATCCTTCATCGAGGTGAACACTACAAGAAGGAACTCGGGACTTGCCACCCCCTACGAATCTGAAGTAGTGAGTGGTTTTAAATGACTCGTGATGGCCGCGAAGGGCGCCTTTAAGCCGCCCTGTGTCTCCTGTCTTCCGACAGGTTTCCTGCCAGCCATGGACGGGGCATCGAGAGCTAACAACGGCCTGCTGGATCAAATCGCTGCCTTGCACTGGATACAGGAGAACATCGACGTGTTTGGTGGCGACCCCAGAAACGTAACCATCGCCGGTCATGGACACGGAGCAGCCTGCGTCAACTTCCTCATGATGTCTCCGATGGCCAAAGGTACGTCCTCGCCCTTCTATGACATCCGCTATTGCCATAACTGCGCGACATCAAAGCTCTTACTCGTTCAAAAGCTATTGTTATTCTATAAGTTACTACCTATGTTGTAACATTGATGTTCCAGAGACAAGTGGAAGGCTGGTTACAGTACTCCTGTTATTTAACTTGCGAAATTAATGTAACATTAAAAATAAAATATAATGAAACCAATAACCAGTTCTCAAACTTCCGATTCCCAGCTAGGCTGGTAATGCAGGATATCTTACTCTATTTTAGGGCCACTCTCGCCGTCAATGTCCCTGATATTGGACTACATTGGTTTCTTACCCGTGTATTTTCTTATTTTCCTGCTTTCTTGCCCGTGCAGCCGAGAAATTTCCAGCTACTGCCGACATCGGTTTGATGCTATATTTTCTGTACAATGCCGCCGTGAAAGTTCCGACTACTGGCCGATATCGGTTGCTTGTATTTTCAAGTCAGTCTTGTAGAAGGTCTGTTTACTGGACGACATCGCTTTCTTATTGTATTTCTGACCACTCCCGCCTTAAATTCTGGCAGCTTACTTGCCAACCTTGTTTTTTTCTACTCGATTAACTGGCCAGTGCAGTCACGGAACTTCCAACAACTAGTCGACATCGCCATTCCGTGACCTCCAGTCGGGAATATCGAAAGCAGTTATAGCTAAATAAAATAATGTTTGACATTTCTCAAAATTAAAAAAAAACAACCTTAATGTTTTAAATTGTCTTAACCTATTAGAGGCAAGCCATTCTTAAAGTGTTGAAGAAAAGTCATATTGTAGCTGCCTAATAATTAAAGGGCGATTTATACTTCAACGTCCCATACCAGCTCCGCTTTGCGCATGCACCTCCCATGGCTCTTGCTGGCAGTGTAGTTTTCAATCCTTTAATGGGTATCAATGAACCGTCGATGCGGTCAAAGCCCTAATTCGAGACACTTTTTGCGCATAATTAGAGCAGCGCCATGATAGGTGCTCAAAACGTTATGTAGCAAACTGCTGGGCATTTGGTTACACGTGAAACATTTGGGGTATTGCTGCAGATCATTACCAAGCCCGCCGCCTACGCTTACGGCGATCTTCATTAGAAAACTTAACACGTGGCGTATAAACATGTTAAAACTTGCTGGAATAGCGACTCTGGTGTTCGTAGGATATTAAAGCTTGCCGGCTTTTCAGAACCTCCCATACTCAACGGAATCAGCCAATCAGCGTTGATCACGTACCTTTCACACAAGCCAATTAGCGTGAAGCTTCGCGGCCGATTGTTTGATCTTCACTAAATCTGGCGCCCGCCCCCACCCTCTGACGAGCAAAATAACGTTTAATGTTGAAATAAAATGATGGGAATGACCACGCTAACATATAAATTTTCTTAAATACTATAACAATGTCAGCGAAAAAAACACAATTACGTCCGTCGAGCGGCATCCACGAACAAGGTAGCCCGTGAAGTTAACCAAGCACTGCCGAAAGCGCAATGTCATGGCGTTTGTCATCTTTCTGCGCTTCTGCGACCATCACCTAAACTAATCAAGCAAAGTTATGGCGTAGTCACACTGGCGGTGAAGATGCGCTTGCGAAGTTGTTGAGATGCGTTTGCGAAGCGGTTGCGAATGCGATTCACGAGAGACCCCGTTCAGACAAACCGAGACACGCACGGAGGTCTCTGGGCGATCCCACGTGATATTTTGAATTTTGAGTTCAGCCTCCCTGTTTTACGATTAAGAATTCAGTTTAATCCACAGTCAAAAGCCTAAGTGTAGCCACTTTGGCGCTATGAAGATTTTTCTTCAGGCTGGCCACACGCATTACGAGTTTCGGGCATTGAAAAAAGTGACCTGGACCCGCAAAACCCGATTGCGATTTACGAAAGTTCGGTTACAAGCAAAGCCCAGCCAGGCGTGGGCGCGCTTTGCTGCCTCAAAAGAAAACAGGCCCCGACCCTATGTACCAAGTGGATTCTGCGCATGAATAGCTGACCTTGATCATTTTCGGACTTGTGAGCAATCAAAGTAAGTGCACGTTTTACTTCGACTATAATCGAAAATCTCAAATTTTCCATTCCAAAATATTTCGGCAGATGGCTTGGCAACACCGATTTTGCGCACACATTATCCAGTTATGTGCTGCAATAGCTTTCGTGTTACTGAGCATCACGCTTACTTGTTAAAAATTTTAGGTAAGCAAAGTGGCAGAAGTTTAATCGAGAGTTCACCAGAGCGATGCTTCTCAATATCCCGGGCACGGCACCACACAGCTACGCGCTGAGCGTTCTCCCGTACCAACAACGATTTCGTAGCTCAGGGGACGGATTTTCGACGCTTACCCTAGGTAAATTTGTCAACGCATTTGCGCAAGTGCGACACTGAATGAAGTCAGGCTCTCGCTCCGGTAACTGCCAGCGTCGTGCACTACCGTTGAACCAATTTTGGTTTCACTCAATCTGGCGAAAGCCTGAACAATGAAGTCACATTATAAATTTGGGGCTTTACGTGGGTTATTACTTGCCGCAGGCACGCCACATATTGCGCTTATTTTGAGAAAAATGATTCTTTTGGCTACTTAATATGGTTAATCTATTGGAATCTTGTCCATGGTATTCATTGGAGGTTCCAAAAATATTAATTCGAAGAGTCCTATAAAATTTCCGAGCCCATCTTTAATTATGGCAGTGACAGTCTTAATGTCACTTAAGGGGAGAGAGTGTCGAAAGTATGTTGCATTGGACAGCTCATCCACCCTCTAGTCATTCGTTTGTTATGCTTCCTTCACCCCCCTGTTCAATGTGCGGTGAAAGCTACATACTCGTTGGGCGTGTCTGTACGTGTACGGTCATATTATCACGCTCCCACCCACACTCACAGAGAGAGAACAGGGTCAGGTGACTAAAGGTTGACAGTTGAATGGTCTGGCGAGCGCTTATTTGTCAAATTAGGGGTGAACAGAGCATAGAGTCTCTACAAAATGTGTTTGTTAGGAGTGCTTAAACCGTTAGGTTTATTTGTATCAAAAACATCCATTGTATGTTTCACATTTACACCCATCAAGCACCTGGCAAAGAAGAAGCTTTCATTGACTAATTTGAGTCCCCCAAGAGGACACGGCCTCCACCGAATACTGGGATGGGGTTTGTTCATTAAGGTGGTCTGCAAAGGTGGTTGAAGGCAAACCGCGCAGTGTATTCCATGATGTAATGAAAATTGACAGGAGTATGACAGGAAGCATCTTTCAAGCGTCTAGCCTCCAGCATGCGTTCACATCCTAACAGCAGGATTTAGATACATGTGCAAGCTTGAAGCTCACAAGATGTTGAAAAGTCGACGAAGGTAGTAATGTAGTGCTGGAGGTAAGACGACTGAACGATCTCCCTGCCGTTCCCGCCCTGTCACTGAATAAAGGAATAGAGTTGGCAACAATATATTTGCAGTGTGGAACCTTGGCATACCCATTCTGAATTTTGAACTCCATGCAATTGTAGCTTCAGTGTTTCTACCGCACAGTCACAATGGGTCTCAAGGTACCCCAAGCTGATCAAAACCTGTGGTATTATTCAATATAGCCTTGCTATGCAGGCTATACTTCGTTCTCTACTAAGCTAGCAGGAAATGTTGCGACCGGCCTGTCGTGAAAATTGGCACATGACCAGTCATGTGTCAATTTTCCTGGACATAATGGCGCTTCCGCCCATCCGTCTACGCAGAAAGCGAGGAGAGGCGATGAAACGTAGTGCGGTTTTGTTGGCTTGAAAAGCGCGTAGCTTTTACATTCCCTTCTGTGGTGAGCGGAGTATATGTGTAACGATCTGCAGATAAAGTTTTTAAATTCTTAGTTCCATCCAGCTTGTCTCACTGCTCTCGTCTTTTTGTTCGCAATTTTGTCTTGTTTTCCGGCAGAAATTATCAGCAAAAATGTGTTTGAAAATCTTTCGTGCAGTATCAAGCAGAATTGCGGTGAATAATGAAATCAGGAAATGACAACCGCTTAGTTTTGTTGCAGTTCCTGACTGCGACAGAGGTGTTTCACATTAAGAAAAGACCGACACTGCTGCTCACAATGATTTTAGTTCCAGCGGCTGTTCAGGATTGTGAGAAATGCAAGAAATATATTTTCTTCAACAATTTTCGACATTACTATCGCACATACCGTCCTGGCGCATTGTTGCCAGGCAAAATAACGTCATGTTCAAACTTTAAAAAAAAGCATTCTGAAAGATGATTAAGCCAGTTACCACAGAGCGTTTGCAAAAGCAATCCCCGCACCTTTTTTGTAGGGTATTCCTTATTTTCTTCCAATGCTTGCAGCACGTCGATGTTAGGGGTGTTTTGGGGAAAATTACTACGAGAATACACGCCGGCGATTCCACCATGCTTGAATTCCTTCTTAAGAAGAAGTGAGTTCTATCGCATGTCCTTTTACATGCAAAAAAAAATCTAAACACGATTTTACGATTTCTTGATCAGTTGTCTCTTTGTCATGCCATTGTGAATTTTAGAGTACATAGGTGGCTGTGATGGTCCGAGGCTGCATCTTAGTGCAGGCCGGTGGTGATTTGGCATGTTTATCGTATGGGTTTACAGGTTAAGACTCAGTTCAAGAAAATATACCCTCTTTTCACAAAAATACTACACTAAGCCATGTGTGGTTACTGAAGAAAAGTAGAAGGATGGTGGAAACCCGAAGGTTTTATTCTGGAAGAGCGGCACTTTTAGATCATCGACGCCGGTCAAAATCTCGTCACGAGCCTGGGCGCAAGGCATGCGCTTCGGGGCTCGTCAGTCTCACGCGTGGAGCGCTTGGAGCGTGTCCGAGTACACAACAGTTACACGCCGTTCGGTGTCATAAAGATATTTATAGAAGCCTTCTGGGGCTGCCTGAAACACAACTCCTCCTTCGTAGTCTAGTTGAAAACTGAAAGAAAAACATTTCGTATTAGAGTGGTCCAACAGGTGATCTTTCAATTTTATGGGCGTTCAGTGTT